ATAAATCGTTTTTTATCTGGAGTCTTACAGTGGTGTGTTTATGTTTGTCAGCAAATCATGTAGAAATAGAATAGTTAATAATATTTCAGTGATTGAAGTTTATTCTTCCCTTATAGTAAAAATCAGCAACCTGTTCAAGATTATTTTTGACTAATAATCGGGTAAACCAATATGAATTGATTAACCACATAAATTTACCAAATCTAAATCCTGCTGCACTCTAGCTATCTCCCATACTCATTTCTTTCTGGCCATCTCTCAGTGGGAATGCTCTTAGGCCAAGCAGGCTATTTTACCAGGAGTATTGCATCTTGCTTTTGCAAACACACCCACTTCCACCAGCCCCCACCTCCATCTCTAGCACTCTCTCTCTTTACTGTCCTTACTTCTTAGACTCTTTAGTTTTATCTGCTTAATACTCTAAATTCCCACTGTTATACCTTATTAAGGCTCTGTGACCCTGCCCTTACCTCCTCAGCTCATGGCTTGACATCTCTCACATTGCCTGTTACACCCTGGCTCACATTTCCTCATCTCTTATGTACCCCTATTTAGAAGATCTCCTTTTGCAACTGTCTGTATCACTCCTGTCTCTTCTGTCCCCACCCTCCTGCCAAGAACCAAAGTGTTTAAAGAGCTCTTTATTTGCTTTTCCACACAACCCTTTACTCATGGTGATATTTTGTTATTTAAAATGCTCCTGAAATTCTTTGTCTTACACACAAAACCATCTTGTATTGATATAATCCTCTCTTTTTCTGACGTTTATTCAATCCTGGACTCAAATAGCCACCTCCTCTATCGTAATACTGCATGTCTGTTATTTATTCCTTCATTCCCAGAACGTACTTAACCACTGATGGGTTTAGACAGACAGATGTACTGCTTCTTTTGTTATGCATCTTGTTGGTTATTCTTCTTTAGAAGCCCCCGGAAACGAGGGACTGCATCTGTTTGATTCTTTGTGTATTGCCTAATATAGCCCACCATCACCATTACTGCACATAGATGACTCATAACTGTTTTCTGATAATAGGAAACAATGGTTTATAAAGAGTAGTAGATATTGAACACTTGGCATCTGTATTGCATGCATTTCTACTGATGCACATTGAGGAGGGGAAAAAACTCTTGGCTTTGGATTCTTAAAGCATCCCCTGTTTAAGGGAGAGCAGGTGGTAAAATTAATCATACAAGAAGATAATTTAATGTTTTTCAAATTTGTTGTTTTGTCTCTGTCAAGTCTAGAAAAGCATATTGGAAATCAAATAGAGCTAAAACAGTACTTTTTGATCCATCAATCCAAAGAACATTTGATTGGAGTAAATTAGAATTTGTCATAGAAATTTCGTAATGCCTACAAGTACTGAAATACACAGAGAATATAGCAAAAGCTGCAGTGGTAGATGTCTTTCTCATGCAAATCATTATCTATGAAGTCTTAATAATACAGGCTTAAATAGAAATTGCTAGAGTGATGTCCAGAATAAAATCTGACACTTTCACAGCAAACAGCACTGTATATTTATGTAATAAGGCATGTTAATGTAATGACTGCTGTTCTAAGAATTCCTTAAAGGAAATACTGAGGATTTGTTAACTCATAATTGGGAACAGTTGCTGGAAGGTAGGTTTAAAAGGGGAAAATCTGTTCAGAACTGGAAATGGTCTTAAGAGGGAGAAGGAAGTTACTCTTCCTAATGTTAGCATCAGATTCTCCTAAAGGTAAATGAAAATTGTTTAAGGCAGCTTTATACAAAGTTTAATTTAGGCATAGGTTTTTTCTTTCTTTCTTTTTTTTAAGGACATCCTAGAAACATTTTTTCCTTTTGAATTAAATATTTCTATTTACCATACAAAGCAGTAACCAAATGTGATTTTGAGCTAAATTTTGTCTTATTTCCATTTTATTCTTAATTAAAATTATATCTTCTTTTAAAATTGTATCCACACTTACACCAAAAATACAGTAAAATATTTTTAAAAAAACAAAACTTAAATCCTGCTAGCTAATATTCTTTTTAAGGAAGGAAGTAGAGTATTTTTTAAATGTCTTTAGACATTTTTAGAGGAACATATTAGTTTTATAAAGTGTTGCATTATTAGTTTTTACAAGTTATGTACTTCTTGGCACCATCAGTTTGGTAAATGACTTGAGTTTTGTCTTTTCCCCAAAGAATAGAACCTGATATAAAAATTACAAACATCAGAATAGGCGTTGTGGTAGCATAGTGCCTAAGGCATTTAACTGCTAACCAGAAGGCTGGCGGTTCAAACCCACCAGGCACTCCTCGGAAGGAAGGTTGGGCAATCTATTTCCATAGTGATACTGCCTCAGAAACCCAAGGGGGTCGCTGTGAGTCGGGTCCGACTTGACGGCACATAACAACAACAACAACAACAACATCAGAATAACCAAAAACCAAACCTGCTGCCACTGAATGGATGGTACTCATAGCAACCCTATAGAACAGAGTAGAACTGGCCCCATGGTGTTTCCAAGGTTGTAAATCTTTACAGAAGCAGACTGACTCATATTTCTACCCTAGACTGGCTAGTAGGTTCAAATCATAGACCTTTGGTTTAGAAACCGAATGCTTAACCACTGTACCACCAGGGCTATTTCAGAATGGAGGGCAGGAAATAGATTTTCTTCTATCATTTGCCAGGTAAGTTTATTAGATTAACTGTTCTTGGAGAAAAGGAAGGCTGTTGTCATATAAGGTTTGAAGAGACCCTTTGTAGCCCTGCTCATGCTGCTTCAATATCTTTTAGCATGGTAAAGGGACTGAGGAGTAGGTATAGTACTAAATTGTTCAAGTCTGTATAACCAGGTAATTTTCAGACATTTGACCACAGAATCTTCTTTTGCACAGAATACCTATCAACAGTCCTTGAAACAAGTGTCCTGAAAGCAGAATTTGGAAGATGTTGCACTAACCAGGAAAACCCACAAGCCAAAATTGATACTCTTCAGAATTCTAATTTACAGCAAGAAAATAGTTAATTATTGGGAAAATCTGAATTTCACCTATACCAGTTATTCTTAATGCTCACTGGACCCGAGCATTCCATGTGTTACATAGATGTCCATTTAGACATCTCTCCTCAGAAGGAAGGTTGGGCAATCTACTTCCGTAGTGATACTGCCTCGGCAACCCAAGGAAGGGGTCACTATGAGTCGGGGCTGACTCGACGGCACATAACAACAACAACAACAAAAAAAAAACTCACTGCTGTTGAGTCGGATCCAACTCGTAGTGACCCCTCCTTGAGTTTCCAAGGCACTATCACTATGGAAATATATTGCCCAATCTTCCTTCCGAGGAGTGGCTGGTGGGTTTGAACCGCCAGCCTTCTGGTTAGCAGTCTGTGCCATCAGAGCTCCTTTTAGACATCTACTGGCAGAAAGTGTGACCTCTCTCAACACCTTTTCAGTGTTGAGGGGGGTATATTCTGTAATTTAGTCACTCTTTTAGTATCTGTGATGTTGTTTTATATTTCTCTTTATATTTTCTTTGGGGACGTTTTGATTATACACAAAAAGAGAAGAGAGGAATGCAATGAACATTTTGCCAGTCTTGTGACTTTAAATATGCTTACTTAACATAAGGCTTTAAATTTTTCGAACACTAGAAGAAGTTCCATTAAAAATGAAACCCAAATATTTTAATTGGAATATATTTTATAATTGAATTTCTTAAATAATTATGATTCATATGGTATGATTTTTCCCCATAATATTGAAATGTCTGTAAAGTGCTGATTCAGCAGTAACAGAACATTAACAAAATGACAAAAATACTCTCATAGCAATACCTCATAATCAGACTATCTTTCCTCATATTTTCCCAACTTTTTTCCCAACTCATGTTTTTGTTGTTGTAAAATATTTATGTATAACACAATATTGCGATTTGTATATATATTTATATATAACACAACATTTGCCAGTTCCACCATTTTCCAGGTATCCTGCTTAGTGATGTTGTCATTAGATGCCATCGAGTGGGTTTCAACTCATAGCGACCCTACATTCATCAGATTAAAAACTACCCGGTCCTGTGCCGTGCTCACAGATGTTGCTGTGGCTTGAGGCCATTGTTGCAGCCACTGTGTCAGTCCATCTCAGTGAGGGTCTTCCCTGTTTTTGCTGACCCTCTACTTCACCAAGCATGAGATCCTTTTCCAGGGACTGGTGCCTCCTGACAACATGACCGAAGTACAAGAGACAAAATCTGCTCATTCTCACTTCTAAGCAGCATTCTAGCTATACTTTTTCCAAGACAGATTTATTCTCTTTTTCTAGCAATCCATGGTATATTTAATATTCTTCGCTAACACTGCAATTCGAATACGAACAATTAATGCATTCTAATTGTTTAGTAATATCAAGTCCATTATTCATGTTGTACAACCAACCACCACCCATAATTATTGCAAATTTCCCATCACCATAAACTCACCCATTATTACTGTTTGGTGGATTAGCTGTACTGTACTTTATTTAGAGTCATTGAGTTTCTTTTTTTTTTCCTGGCTTTCATCAGATAGTATTATATATCCTGTATTGGCTTGGGTAAACTGATGAATCTGGAAAAAGGGAAAGCTTCAAGAGGAGTTTCTTTTGTTTCACTGTCTATTTTCTATGTCAGCTCTATCCTAAAGCTTACTCCACAATCGGCTGAGACCTGGGTTTGGCTCATCCCACCGTGGAAGCGAGAATGAGATTATGTTAACTGGTTGAGGCCAGTGATACTGGGGTGAAATCAGTCCTGCCATAACTGTGTGGAAATTTTGGACCTTGTTAAGAAAGGGAACATAGGGAATGGATGATGGAGAAACAACCAGTAATGTCCTTTTACTCCAAGTAAGCCAACTTTTGAAAGTTCGACAACAGGCTATCTTAGATCTTTTTAATGTCCAATGAGATATTTAAATCTGTGAAGATATATTAATATTAACAGGATTTGTTTGTTTTTTGTTTCTGCCTCTTTTAGAGGACAGGAATTTTGGGCAGATTTGAATGCCATGAATGTGTATGAAACAACTGAATTTGACCAACTACGAAGGCTGTCCACACCACCTTCTAACAATGTCAACTCCATTTACCATACAGTCTGGAAATACTTCTGTAGGGACCACTTTGGATGGCGAGAATATCCTGAGGTATTTATAGGTTCTTTTTTTTAAAAAAAAAAGTGTTGAAGTTTTTTTGCCTTTTATTGTCCTTTTGTTGTTGTTCTTTCCAACAATTACTGGACAGAGCTATAATCATAATGATAGAGCTTATGAATATAAAATTTCAAATTGAATCTTGTTGATACAAGTAGAACTTGTCTTTATTTTTTAAAAATGTTTCTCTTTCCATTTATCTGATGATACCCATAAATAGAATATCACTGGTCTTAGAGAAATAAAATGCTTTCCCCAGAATCTTACCTTATAAAACCATTGAGTGGATTACTACTCATGGCAACCTCATGTGTACAGACCACGTATTTACAATAGTGAATAGTTGATTAGAACCAGTGCTGCCTTTGGAGTAATTTTAACAAGGTGAATACTGGGATGTGGTGTCTTCTGGCTTTCTGGTTCCTGGGCTCATGTGTTACACTAAACACTTCAGAAGTCTAGTGGAAAACAGCCACTCTCAATCCCCTGGACGAATTACTTGAAAATATTTATTGATAATTATTGAGTGAGGGTCAGGCAAAATGAGTCATTTAAAACTCTGTCCTACTTGCACATACATCCTAAGTCTGAGATAATAAAGATAGCTCATTAAGCTAAGAATTTTAAAGTGATGATTTAAAAATGATGATTTACTTTGCTTCTGAATGAGAATTCTAAGTCAAATTTAAATGAAATGGATTTAAAAAAAAAAAATACTGTGATTCAAGTGGAAGTTTAATAGAGCAGATTGGTTTCCCATTCAACAGTTCATATACTTTATGTTTTATGACATTGATTGTAATCCCTACAACATAACAGCACTCTTCTCACTTTGTCCCTGTTACCATTTCCATTCATCCTGCCCTTTCCTGCCTTTTGAGCTTCATCCCTGGGCAAATGCTGCCCTTTTGATCTCATGGTTGATTGTTCTGAGGTGTTATGTACCTCCCTCATTTTACTTTTTAGCTTATAGGCCTGCTATTTGGCTGACAGTTGAGCCACAGGGGTGAATTCATTTCCAGGCTTGAAGGATGACTGAAGGCCATAATCTTGGGGGTTCTACCAGTCTCTGTCAGACCAATAGGCCTGGTCTTTTTTGATTTTGAGTTTTTATTCATTTTTCTCCCACTCTATCCAGGACCTTCTATTATCCCTTTCAGAGCAGTTGGCAGTAGTAGTAGCCAGGTACTATGTAGTTCTTCTGGTCTCAAGGTCATGGAGGCTGAGGTCTTCATGGTCCATTAGTCCTTTGACTAATTATTTCCACACAGAGTGATTTTCTTCACTCTTTGTTTCAGATGGTGAGAGACCAATAATTTCACTTCAGATGGCCACTTGCAAGCATGAAATGGACTTTAGAGATAAATTTTACATCCCAAAGATCTGATGTCTTCATTTAAGTAAATTCATTTCCAGAATTATAAAAGAGCTGATTTATCTACTTTAGTTTTTTGTTTCTCTAGGGAATAGCAAAGGAAGAGAACTAACTACTAGTTGTCGTAAAACACTATATTAAACTAAAATTTCTGATGCTTTTAAATAATCATATCTGCCTTACAAAGAAAATAAGAGGCCGTTTGAATGTATTCTTAAAATACTTGGACTATCCCTTTGTTTCCCCTCTGAGAGGTTAATTAGATTTGGAACTTAATTGGTTTATTTGAACTTTTTGTAGACTACCATCTTTAATGTAAACCAGAAAATCTCTAAGACATTGTTAAAACCTCAAATAAAACTAAAGCCAAACCAAACTCACTGCCATTGAGTCGATTGCAACTCATAGTGACCCCCGTTGGGTTTCCAAGGTGGTAAATCTTTACACGAGTAGATTAACCCATCTTCCTTCCATGGAGCAGCTGGTGGGCTCAAACTTCTGAACTTTTGGTTAGCAGCCACATGTCTTAGGTATTATATAATTCCATGGGCCTCACATATATTATGAGGTGTCCACCCATGCTCTTCCAAACAGGGAGCATCTTTCCACTCTCCATCTTCACAGGTGGAGGAAAAAAAAAAAAAAAAAAAAACCCTTACTTTCTAAAGAGAATTAATTTAACTCACTGTACTTTATTGGGAGCTCTCGTGGTGCAGTGCCTAAGGCATTTGACTGCTGGCCAGAACATTGTTGGTCCAAACCAACCAGCTACTCTGCGGAAGGAAGATGGGGTAGTCTGCTTCCGTAAAGATTTTCTACCTTGGAAACCTATTGGGGTGGGGGCTCACTATGACTCAGAATCAACTTGATGGCAGTTGGTTTGGTTTTTGGTTTGGTACTTTATTGAAATTCCTCTGATGTTAAGAGCAGGGTTAACTATTTTTGCCTTTAAATGCATTAACATTTTTCATATTTCATAGTGATTATTTCTTGTTTTTTTACTCTGTAGTCTGTTATACGATTGATTGAAGAAGCCAACTCTCGGGGTCTGAAAGAGGTTCGATTTATGATGTGGAACAACCACTACATCCTCCACAACTCATTCTTCAGGAGAGAAATAAAAAGGAGACCCCTCTTCCGCTCCTGTTTTATACTGCTTCCATATTTACAGTAAGTGGCCAATGGGAAGCCTCATCTGTACTCTGATTTTATGTAAATGTATTCCTGAATGCCAGAGAGCAAACCAGTGTTAAATGTCTTGGTTATTACCTCTAGAATGTGCAGCTCTGAATTATTCTTTGAGTTTGATTCTTCAACAAATAGAGTTCAGCTAAGCTATAGTTACATCTTCATCTCGCTTGAATGGCTGAGCATGCCAGGCTGCCTGTCTCAGTAATAAATTCTGCCACCTCACTAGGACAACAGTAAAAGAGTGAGTGTCCTATTGGAAGTTTCTGTTTGTTTGTTTTTTCTTTAAACTAAAAGCAAAGTAGAGTTAACGTTTTTCCACAACTAAAAGTATTTATTTCTGGGATAAGATAGTTAGCATTCACCTCCTTCATGGAAAATTGAGTTATTTGATGAGAACTTTCCATATTACAGGGCTTTGCAGCCCAGGTAAACTGCTATGAAAAGTAGCGTAGTCCTTCAAAGAGTTGGGGTCTCCATTTTTCTTCCTTGAGTGAATTTGAATTGAAAGAATTCACCTTCAAAATATTTTGCATTTTTACTTGCTAATAAGTAAGCACTTCTTTCTTACTTATTAAGAATATAGTTTCTTGGTAAAAGACAATTCAAGTAGGTGAGCTCTTCTTCCTTTTTACCAAGCGCTATTTCTTCTTTCCGTCTTCAGGTAGCCCCACTGACATCTCCATAGATGCTAGAAGGTGGGTTGCAGTATTGTTAACATAGCCACCTTTGAAAGTTACTGTCTCTGGGGATCATCATACACTCCAATCACATATACCATTTTAGAGTTTTATTTTTGAAATACTGGATTTGCTTGGTTTTATTAACTTTAGAGGTCTCAAGTAATACCAGTTAGCCTCTCTGCTGATCTTTGAGGTGAAGATGCTGTTTACATATTCTTGTTAGTAGTTTTTTTTTTATTTCAAGCCCAAACTGTGCTTTCCCCAGATCATTTTGACAGAACCTTGATTCTGATTCTGAGATTGCAAGAGGAACATGAACAAAATACAAACAAAAATCCCTGAAATGTTCTGCATCTGAAAATAATTAATAAATCACTTTTAGAGATACATACTAGCTTACAGTAAGTGTGTGCTTTCTTCAAAGGCCAACTGTGAAACTTTTTGCCTTGGAGGTTGTTTTTTTGTTTTGTTTTTTTAATTAGGACTAATAAAAATACCATTTTTGTGATTTCACTAGCACAGCTAGAAATAGTGTCAGCGTCCAGTAGTTACGAACATACTGTCCTCCTAGTAAGGTGGTAGAACTCATTAGTGAGACAGACATTTTGGCATGCTGAGCCAATCAAGTGAGATGTAGCTTCTGTGTGTGGGTAAGAATCCTCATTCACATGCTGCATTGTTGGGGGAATTTTAATGAGTAGTGAAAATTGATTTGTTTAGAACCTAAGACAACCCTCTCTCTCTTTTACTCTCTCTCACTCGCTTGCTTGCTTCTCTTTTTTTCTCTCTCTCTTTTTTAATCTTAGGCTTGTTTTCTAAAAGTATGAACTATAAAAATAGTATGTTGTTGTTTTTATGTGCCATCGAGTCGACCTAACTCATAGTGACCCCTCCTTGGGTTTCCAAGGCAGTATCACTACGGAAGTAGATTGCCCCATCTTCCTTCTGAGGAGTGGCTTGTGGGTTTGAACTGCCAGCCTTCTGGTTAGCAGTCAAGTGCCTTAGGCACTACGCTACCAGAGCTCCCCAAAATAATATAAGGAACAAAATAATATTGTCACAGACAGAGCCCTTAGTATTTATAAAATAGGCTTATAAAAAAAAAAAAATGTCATTCTATCCCTCTTCCTTTTTTCTTTTTAAAATTTCCTGTTTTAATCCTCCTGTCTAGAACAGTGATGATCAGGTATAAATGAAGAGCTCAGGAAATCAGAGATTATGCAGACACTTTAACTAGAAAAGGAGAAAAGCAGCAAGTTCAGTAGGTCTAGTGGTAAATGAAGCACTTGAGATTCTATCTGCCCTAGAGTGTATGACTGAGGGGCACTCAGGAACTAGCCTAAAAGGGAGAAAGAAAATGGGGCTAGTTTCCAAAAAGTAAATTTCAGAAGTGTATTCCAGAGGGTCTTTGGTCTTAGCCAAGAAGAAAGGTTTTTTTCTTTTGTTTTGTTTTTAAGTGTTATCAAATGCAAAGGGTCAAAGAAAAAAAAGTAGGAGATGAAGAGGCCACAATTGTCAAGGAACCAGAGATGCCTAAGAACTTAGAATGCCATTCTTACGAGGAATGTGGGAGGCTAACTTAATTCATGAGTATGTCTACAAATTTGGCACTTCTTCAATGAGGTTTTCCCTGCTGCTTTTTAATTGGGCTGATAAAAAGGAGATGTTCTTTCATATTCTTGGAATACTTGAGCTGAGCCTGCGTAGGCAAACATCTCAGGTTGATGGGTTTGCCGGCTCATTTCTTTCAGTTGAAAGGACATCCATCCTGTGTGATCACCTCATGATCATGAGAAGCCCTGATACATAGTTTCTTTGGCTCCTCCTAAAAAAGAGTAAAATGATTAATTTTCACTTCATCATTGAAATTGGCATAGGAAATGTCTTTAAAAATGGCCAGGGAAGGGAAGGAAGGTGATAAAAGGTGACCTTAGCTTCTGAAGTCTTTCTTCAGAGGTTCTTGAATACAATGTTGATATCCTTTGACTCTGGCTCTGAGGGAGGTTGGTACTATGCTATAAAGCATGCACTGGACCCTGTATGAACTGAATATATAGTATTCTCAGAAAATAAAAGTATATGGGTAAGTGTGCTTAGAATATGTGTTTTTTAATCCATAGCCACTAGAGTATAGAAGTTCACCAGGCAGATGTCTCTGTGCATTTTTATGTTTTAGCCTAACCAGCATGTCTGCTTGTTAAAAGTTAGGATATTTGGATGGGAATAGATGCTACAATATATAATCTAATTTAGCATCATAGAATAGATAGGATTTATTTACAGAGTTTCATCATCAAGCATATATGAGTAAACAATAGACCACCATTTCCCCCATCCCCCAAAAAAGGAAAGGATACTTTGGAAACTTTCATTTTGTAGAACTGGCTTTTAGGCAGGAGTAGTATCAGGAAGAAAGGAATAGAGTCTCTTCTGTTGTCAGTGTCAGGTTTTCAACATGAGCTGAAATAGCCTAAAACCTGTTCTGGGTAAAGCTCATTAGGGAGAATGTTAGCTTGCTCTCTCAACCCAGAAACCCCCATTGGTAACTTCAGTGCCAGGTAACAGTGCAAAACTTGGTAGGCTGGGTCTTACTTTCCTCTTTGCAGGATGGGAATAGAGGGAGACTAAAATAAAGAGCCTGTATCCGATGCTTTCCTGCTATTTCTCCAGAATAGTGATGGATTTTTAAGGAGTTACAGACTTGGAACATCTAATGAAGGGTGCCTCTTCAGAAAAATGGTCTTCTGAACCAGGGCTCCAGAAGAATCTGTCAGGGCTCAGGGCTCTGAGAAAATACTCCAGAGAATAAAAACTTTGTTTTCTGTTGTGAAGTTTGGAAAATCCAGCACCCCTTTAAATCTGCCCCTGAATTTAAAGCAGCTGGGAGATAGGGTCCACCTGAATCCACTCAGGACTTCATTTCACAAAGGGACTTTGAGTAACATTATATTGTATGCACAGCCACTTGAAGGTGACTAGCTGTAGAGGGCATTTGTGCTTCCATAGCTTTTACTTTCTTACCAAGCTATCTCTTCATGTGATAATGTAGTGGTAGAGAGGTAAGACAAGCCTGGGTGGGAATCCTAGAATTCATCTATCACTTTGAGGTCGTACTAAAAAGCGTTTAAATTGTGAAGGGTATGGCAAATGGAAAGAGTATGAGCTAGTATCTAGATAGCTCTGGATTCAAATCCCTTCTCTGCTATTTGCTAGCTGTGCTAGAGCATATTATTTAACCTCTCTGAACCTCAGATAGCCAAGCCAGCTTGCAAGGCTATTGTGATGATAAGTGTTAACTGTGTGTGAAGTGTGTGTTTAGTATAAGATGGATAAGATTATGATGAGGGTGATGGTGAGATAAGCTCTTTGGAGATTAGGGGCATGTTCACACTCACTTGTAACCTCTGTGTCACAAAACGCCTGAAAACTCCAGTTTCCTAATTTCTTAAGTTTGGCAGACATTATTGCTTCCTTGTGACCACTATGGGCTGATGAATGTTATAGGACCTTGGCCCTGAAACTGGGTCTCAGGGTCAGGATTTCCTTTCTTTCTGCTTCTTCCCTTTTTCTGTGTTTTGAAAATAAATGGCCAGGAAGTATAATTTAAGTTTAAGCATTGAATCAGGCAGGAATTAGTAATTGATCAAAGCTGCTGCTCCTTTAAATTCATCAAAGAATAGACCTAAATTTAAAGGTTCAATGATACCACTCTAGTGTCGAGAGTTTCCAGTGATTAGCACACCCATACCTGTAACATTTGAATAAATCGTGATGGCCTTGATATTATATGTGATCCTGGAAAATGAAGCAAATGCCAAATACTTGTCAACTTTCAGTGGTTCTCCATGATTTTTGTTTGTTTTTACAGAGAAATCCTAGTACATGTGTTAACATTTTTAACATTTTATCTTCTCACTCTTCCCTACATGCTCCAGTTACTCTATTGTGTGTACCCCCACACCCACATTAGCTTTATTGGTGACATCTTTATGCTTAGTAGCTACAAAGTTTGAAGAAAGCCTATAAATTATCATTGTTCCCTTGAAACGTTTCTTTAAATATATAGGCAAAAGAGGGATCCATGATCCAGAAAGCAAAGATATTTATAAATTGGCTCTTGCTTGCTTGCCTTGCAGCAATACATTCCAGAGTTTTCTCCACAGGGAGGAGGCCAGGAAGAAGCTAATAATAGGTTATCCATGTACAGGCAGTGTTTACTTTAAGATTTTTATTTTCTTTCTCTTAAATAGTGTGTTTTGTTTTGTTTTTCAAACACAAGCTTATAAGCTATCCAAATGGTAATATTAGAAACCAGTATAGAACATTATAATGTGACATATACTTATTTCTGAGAGTTTTATATTAACATTCCTTCCTCACCCTTCAGGACACTGGGTGGTGTTCCTACACAGGCTCCTCCACCTCTTGAAGCAACCTCTTCGTCACAAATCATCTGCCCGGATGGGGTCACCTCGGCAAACTTTTACCCTGAAACTTGGGTTTATATGCATCCCTCTCAGGACTTCATCCAAGTGCCTGTTTCTGCAGAAGACAAAAGCTATCGAATCATTTACAATCTCTTTCATAAGACTGTACCTGAGTTCAAATATAGAATTTTGCAAATACTGAGAGTCCAAAATCAGTTCCTTTGGGAAAAATACAAAAGGTGAGTCCAAAGTGTGAAAAGTTTGAGATAACTTTTTTTTTTAATTAGGCAATGCAAATGTAGGACAGAATAGTGAAACTTGAATGATATTTAATATGCTTGTATTTTTCTGTATATTATTAAATCACTTAGTCTTTACAGTAGACCTATGAGTAGAATTACTAATTTCTATGTTTTGTGGAGATGAATCTGAGTCCCAGAGAAACGTGGTAACTTGCCATAGGTCATACAGCTAAGGCTATATGATGCTGGAATTTAAACCCAGGCAGTCTAGCATCTGAGGCCTTGCTCTCAACTGCTTTATTTCTCTGCTGGCCTCTCAAGTCATTAAACAAGTCAGTGAAGTGAGAGGGAATATGTGCATTCTGAAGAATCTCAGAGTTAAGGGACACCCAAATCAGTGGAGTTAGATAAGGAAAGCACCCTAACGAAGGTAAGATGTTGAAAAAAACTAAACTCATTGCCATCGAGTTGATTCCAACTCATAGCCAACCCCCTTTGGGTTTCCAAGGGGTAAATCTTTACGGGAGTAGATTGCCCAATCTTCCTTCCATGGAGTGGCTGGTGGGTTTGAACCACCAACCTTTTGGTTCACCATCAACCTTTTGGTTAGCAGTCAGATGCCTTAGGCATCATGCCACCGGAGCTCCTTAAGATGTTGGAAAATACCTTTGAAATGAAGAGAAAGCAAAAAGTTTAAACTTTCACTGTGATCTTTGAGGGAGCTCTGGTAGCATAGTGCCTAAGGCTCTTGACTGCTAAGCAGAAGGCTGGCAGTTCAAACCCACCAGCCACTCCTCGGAAGGAAGAGGGGCAATCTACTTCCGTAGTGATACTGCCTCGGAAACCCAAGGAGGGGTCGCTATGAGTTAGGTCTGACTCGACGGCACATAATAACAACAGCAACAACAACATGGTCTTTGATGACATTTTGACTCTTCAATAGCTCCTTTATATTTCTTTCCCATTGAAACAATAGAGAAGTATGTCTACAACTATCAAATGCCTATTAAATTGATCTATACTTCTTCCAAATTCCCTATCGCCTCTTCGCAATAGGAAAAAGGAATATATGAACAGGAAAATGTTTGGCCGTGACAGAATAATAAACGAGAGACATTTATTTCACGGAACATCCCAGGATGTGGTAGATGGAATCTGCAAGCACAATTTTGACCCTCGAGTCTGCGGAAAGCATGCTACCATGTTTGGACAAGGCAGTTATTTTGCAAAGAAGGCAAGCTACTCTCATAACTTTTCTAAGAAGTCCTCCAAAGGAGTCCATTTCATGTTTTTAGCCAAAGTACTGACTGGCAGATACACGATGGGTAGTCACGGCATGAGAAGGCCCCCTCCAGTCAATCCTGGCAGTGTAACCAGTGACCTGTATGACTCTTGTGTGGATAATTTCTTTGAGCCTCAGATTTTTGTCATTTTTAATGATGACCAGAGTTACCCTTATTTTGTTATCCAATATGAAGAAGTCAGTAACACTGTTGCCATTTGAAAAATCTTGGTACTGCTAAATTATTTGATATTAACTCAATCCAGCATTTGTAGCAGATTTTGGATGGGTGGGACTGGGTGGGGAACAGCATTGAACATTGATAGGGCACTTTTCAGACCCATTTTTTTAAGTGCTAGAAAGTGAGTTTGTTAACAGTTTTTGTTTTTAAGAAACACAAGTTTTAAAATGACCACTTATCCTTTAATTACTTGCTAATTGTTATTAGTGTACTCAGTGTGGAGAAGACTACCGATCGCATACTCTTTTCATTCACACTTGTACATATAGTCAGTAATGTTATTAGAAGCATTTAAAAAGACAGAAAGACACTGAACATCAGCCTAACCAATTAAATGCAGCTTGGGCCTGGTATAAGTTAGGCCAAATGAAATGGAGCCTGTGAGCAAAGTGGGGATTGTATTTATTTACAGTGATAAAATGGACTGGAACTGGCATTACCATGACTATTCCCTGGCCAAGGCGTCACTGCTATGGTGTAGGATAAGTTCATGAAATTCTGATGAGTAGAAAGAAAATTTTATTTCTGTCAGCAGGACTGAAATATATTACCCAGCCAGAGAGCATCAGTGACTTGAACTGTTCACAGAGTTTACATGGGAATCCAGAGTGATGTTTAGGGGAAATAAAAAGAACCATTTGAAATTTTTTTCTCACCAGCAAAATTTTTCACTTACTAGTTACATGAGAGAGAATTCTTTGTTGTTAAACATTAGCCATGGAAAACATTCTCTTCCATTGTCATCCCCACCAGGTTAAGGGAGTTAGGCAGCTAATTTGGTTAAAGCCAGTTTTGAGGGTTAGAAGTATTACTTTCTTTTGGGGTTCCAGGTCTAGCCCCTTATTAAAGGTTTTAGAGGGAAGAAGTACATCTGCAACCAAATTGATAAGGTTTATTACTTTGCTTTGTACAAAGTAGACTCTCAGAAGTATTCGTTGACTTGGAATTCTTGTTAAGGGTGGTAATCCCACCCTAGGCCTGCTTTGCCAGATGCAGCTGGGTTCCCTGGCTGACTCTGCATCTTACACTACTTACTTCATAGAAACACAAACTTGGAAATTGTGCCACTAGCCCAGCTAGAGCACGTTAGGTGAATATGCTGATGCCTCAGTTCAGAGAAGTAGCAGCTAGGTATACTTCGCCTTAAGCAAAGCAAATACTTGGATTTATAAAAGTGGTTTTCGAAAGAATTTACCACGGAATTCCTTCAGATACCAAGCTCTCCTAGTATGTTTGCAGTTATTTCATTTACACATAACTTTTCAGGAACTTCTATGTTGTTTGAAGCAAGATATATCTATACTGGTGTCTTAGTGAATCAGTCTGTTTAAGCACTTATCAGGGCTTCCACACAGTTATTTATTTTGCCCTAGTTGATCCTGTTGTTTGCTGCCATTGGCATGAAACGGCCAACTGTGGCTCTTACTTTAAGTCAGTTGTTCTTTCATTTGATTATAACTTGTAAACCAGTGATTCCCAATCTTTTTCAAGTTAAGACACCTTACCACTGCATATTTGATTTTATGAAACTTGTTCCTTTTTTTTCTCCCTAAAGAAAGAAAAGCTTTATGACATATTTATTTTTTTAATAAAATTAAGCGAAAAATAAAAGTTCTCGTAATTCTTTAAAACTTTTGTTGTTGTCTGGTTCTATTTAAGGTAACTGAATTCAACACATACCCAATGGTCTGTAAATGCCAGTTGATTGAAATAGTGGATTGTGTAACGGAATGACTGAATTGACAGACCTAACCAGAATACACTCTGGGAATCAGCAGAAAGTACATCATCTAGCAGTTGATTGTAAACCACCAGAGAAAAGTGAATATTTTACTTTGCAGGGAAATATTTCAGGGAGGGGGGAAGTTTTATATCACCACATTGCTGTATAGACAAAAATATGAGCAAGTCGTCCCCTTCAGCAAATGCTGAAGGAAATATGAAAAGGAATTGTAGAAGTTGTGTCAGCTCTCTCAAGCACCTTAGCTTTCTGCCAATTTAAAGTTATCTGATTGTTAATGTGAGCATCTCTGATAGTACTTTCCCCTCAGTGGAAAAATTTTTTAAATGCCTATGTATTGTATGTTCTAATTAAGTAAGAACTATGGAGTCAGACTAAATTTTATAATGGTTCTGTATGTTTAAAATACACTGAAAAGCATTCAGTAATTCTTTCTCCCTGCGGACACAGCTGTAATTTACACCATTTCAGAGAGCTAGAACTTAGTCTTAATTTCAGCTATGGTTGAGAGTCCCAGAGAAAGAGTCTGCAAACTCCTGAAATATTCCAGTGTCATACAGTCTTAGAGGAGAGCTTTAAAAAAAAAAAAAAATGTGTACATAGTTAATAAATACTGGATCCTTGGTACTTAAAAGTTCTAAAATCCAACTCTGCTGCAAACCCATTTATTTTAGTAAGTGATTATTTAGTTATAAAAAAGAATCATTAGGGCCTGAAATACAGATCTTGAAAGAGGAATTTTTATTATTCTAGGTCTGAAAATGACTAGAAAGAATGTATTCAACTTCCAAACAATAACACGCTGTCAATTTAAGTCAGTGTTTTTTCCCACCTTCCTTTATGGAAGGTAAAATGACCACAAAATACTTCTAGTTACCCCTAAATGGGACGTGACAGTTCATTTTAGTACTTCTGCATGGTACTTTTTCTAGAATTTAATCCTTATCATTTACATTATTGCTGATATTAATGAGGTTTTTTCTTTTTTCTATTACAACTATACTATAATTTTGGACAAACCCCTTTTCTCATCTTTAAAATGGATTTTTTTTTTTTTTTTGTAAAGATTACAAATGGTAAGAATATTCCATCTTTGGGACTGTAATGTGAAAACTTCATAAAGTGCTATCCAACAATTGATCGTGTTATTTACAGGTTAAAAATTGGATATTGATTTTATTTAGAAAAGATAGTATTGGATTTTATAAATGGAACCATCTAGTTTATTGATTTATGTATACAATACGTCACCTATCCCTATCATCCATAGTACGTTCTGTGAAATAGGACATCATGTGGTTTGGATGTGCAAACACCACATTAAAACTTCATGGGAGTGTGCTTCCGGTATCATTACTGCCTCTGCTTCCACAGCTGCCACCACCACCACTGCTGCTGGAGCTTCTGGCAGAGGTCAGAGGAACGGGCAGCAGGAGTGGAGCATACCCAGCCCCACCCACTATTCCACCCACCTGAGCAGCAAGAGCAGCCCCCTCTGTAGCTGGACAAGGCCCAAGTGCCTGCACCTATATAGCCATGTCCTCTACATCATTTGCCTGTATCCCACCCATGATCCAGTGCTGCAAAAGACTGGGTTTGGATCTTGTAAATTATTAGGGGGAAATAATAAACAAAAAAGGGACTCTGGTAATGTACTAGCTAAGGCATCTGGTTGCTAACTAGAAGGTCACTGGTTCAAATCTATCAGCCGCTCCGCTGAAGATGAGGCAATTTATTCTGTAAAGAGGTACAGCCTTAGAAACCCAATGGGGGTTGTTATGAGTCACAATCAACTCGATGGCAGTGGCTTTGGTTTAGTTTAATAAAAGGAGAGCTACTTTCCTTTTAAAAACAAAAACTTCAGGTGACCAAGGACATACATGCAGACAGATGTTGCCTGAGCCAGTATTAAGTGACATGTACCTGTACTCATTGCAGGCAAGTTAAACAAAATCAAACACTTTGTTTTTTTCCACCTTCTTTAGCTTGCTAACCTTAGTTACTCAAGCTATCCTAACAAGAATTAAAAAAGACACTATGGAAACTTGCAGCATTACTAGTTAAGAGTTACTGCTTAACTGTCACTACATCTTTTGGGAGACAAGCTCCTGTATGGATGTGTCAAATGACAGCCCTTCTGAAGCTTTAATCATATATGAATGAGAGTGTTTTTGCATTGGAAGTGTTTCATGAACACTGCTAAATTCTTCAACTAGAGCACAGATACCCAACCATTTTGATGATGTCCAAATTTTATGGACCTTCATAATAGTACTTAATTATACTTAAATAACCCAATGATTAAGAAAATGCACAATGACCAGAAGCCACTATGAATTCAGTGATCTTTATAAGCAAACTTGTATTTTCCATCATTACCATATAATTACCAAACATTACCACGTTTGCAATGTGGGTTATACTTTGTTCATAGCCAACATTTGGTGCTCAAATGGATTAATGGACACCTTACAATAACTCCCATATGCCTCTCAAGTTTATAGCCAACAGGTTGGGAACCACTGGGCTACACTATTTCTGTGTTCAAGTTCAGATAATTTCCTTTTATAGCTAGGCTATCTTCTGAATTACATCCAATCTTAAAATAGCCGTAATCAAATCAGGTAGCTAAGAGGCTCAACTTACTGTTCAAGAGCCTCTAAGTCTTCTAATACTTAGCAAGTCTTTGGTGCCAAATTGTCATTTAGTGGGCCTTCTGTTTAGACACATTAGAGCTGCATTTTGAAGTGTTTCACACTGCATTAAGGACTACATTTAACAGATCTAAATGGCAGTAGTACACTTATTTAAACAGATGCTACTCAACTACATGATAATGTGCTACTCTTCAATACTAACAAATTCTTGTGCAACCATCAGTTTAAAGTGTATTTGAAACAGCAGCGATAGACTTTCCTAAAGCCCTAGTCGATGTAGGTTATACATTTTATAGCATCTTGCACAAGGTCTTAATCCATAATTTCTAAAACACAATTAACTGTTCCTTTTAACGGTAGCAACCATAAATTATAATTAGTGTTGCTCTTAATGATCTATGTCTAGTAGCTTTATTTCCAACCACTTATAAATATAACTGGATTTCAAATTGCGATGTTTTAGCCATGACTACATCTATGACTAAAGTTTTCTAAAGACACACATTTGCAGTGTTATTTATTATTACCTTGTAGGCATATACAGGGCAGTGCTGATCAGGAGCAGGAATGCATATTTTGTGAGTCATTATTACTCAGTTTGGGATGAGTTACTGTCAGTTGTTAGAAACCAATGGCTTAGTCACAATTTCTTCACACCATCAGTGTGGGATTTGTGGACTGAGATAAATGTAAAACAACGAGCACAGTACCTGGCTCATAGTATACATTCAAATTTTAACCAGTTGTGTTTGAGCTGTTCCCCAAAACTAGGTGTTGGAAGTCTAACCCTACATGTGTGGATGTAATCCCATTTGGGAGTAGGTTTTGGTAATGAGACCATATCAATGTAGGGTGTATCGTCAACATACTCATTTTTGAGAGAGAAGCATGCCCCCACCCACTGCCACTGAGTAATACCCACCCACTGCCACCCAGTAATATCTATCAATATTCTTTGCCAACAAAATAATTCAAAGTTATCTATTGTTCTTTGGTCTTTCTTGTTCATTGTCTGTGCATATTATTTAGTCTATTGAAAATACCATGGCTTGGGTCAGGTGCAACTTAGTTCTTAAAGTGACATCCTTGCAGCATATTTACCCAATGCAATATCAAAAAAAACCAAACTGCCCTCGAGTCAGATCCAACTCATCGCGACCCCTCCTTGCGTTTCCTAGGCGGTATCATTACAGAAGTAGATTGCCCAACCTTCCTTCTGAGGAGTGGCTGGTGGGTTTCAACCTCCAGACTTCTGGTTAGCAGTCAAATGTCTTAGGCACTACACCACCAGAGCACCCACCCAATGCAACACATCATTTGATTTCTTGACTGCTGCTTCCATGGGCATTGATTGTAGATCCAAGTAAAATTAAATTCTTGACAATGTCAGTCTTTTCTCCATTTTCTCCATGATGTTGCTAATTGATCCAGTTGTGAGGATTTTTGTTTTGGTCATGTTGAGGTGTAATCCATTCTGAAGGCTGTAGTTTTTGATTATCATCAAAGGTGCTCCAAGTCATCTTCACTTTCAGCAAGTAAGATTGTGTCATCTGCATATCGCAGATTGTTAATTAGTCTTCCTCCTATCTTGATGCCATGTTCTTCTTCATAAACTCCAGCTTCACAGATTATTTGCTCAGCATACAGATTGAATGAGTATGGTGAGGGGTAGAATTCTGACTCACACCTTCCCTGATTTTAAGCCATGCAGTATCCCCTTGTTCTGTTTGAACAACTGTCTCTTGGTATATGTACAGGTTCTACATGAGCACAGTTAAGTGTTCTGGGATTCCATTTTTTGCAATGTTATCCATCATTTGTTACAATTGAATGCCTTTGCCTTTACATAGTCAATAAAACACAAGTAAACATCTTTCTGGTATTCTCTGCTTTGAGTCAAGATCCATCTGACAAGAAGTTAAATATATAAGACAGAAATAAACGTAGAAATAAAATGAATAAGAAAAAGATGAGGTAAACATTTTTAAAATAAATGTTATTTTATATTAAATGTGTATTAAATTTTTATTATCACCAACTAATAACAGTGGCTGGAAAAAGTATATTGCAAAGATACTTATATCCATATGGACAAAATCTTATCACTGGCTGAACTTACTAAATCATGATACACATTTTTCATTCTTAACTTCATTATGCATAGGGTTTTTTTGTTGACATTCAGCTAGCAAATATCCATCTTTTCAGATGTCAATCATTTATTTTTACAAAC